ACCCTGACTCAGTCACACATGGTGCAGCAGGTCCTTCAGCGCTTCGACTTCACGTACTCCTCGCCTCAGGCCACTCCTCTGTCTACTCGCCACTCGCTCTCAGCTCTGCCTTCGGATGAGTCCGTAGAGCCGAGTGGCCCGTACCCAGAGCTTGTTGGCTGCCTCATGTACCTGATGACCTGCACACGACCTAACCTAGCATACCCTCTTAGCATCTTGGCACGCTATGTTGCTCCTGGGAGACACCGACCAGAGCACATGGCTGCAGCGAAGAGGGTGTTGCGCTACTTGTGCAGTACGTCGGGCATGGGGCTAGTGCTTGGAGGGCGACGTCGAGTGGTCCTCACAGGTCACGCAGACGCTTCTTGGGCTGACGACCAGGCTACGCAGCGGTCGTCACAGGGTTACACCTTCAGCCTTGGCTCCGGCTCTGTTTCGTGGCGGTCTACCCACTCGTCTTCTGTTCTCGGCTCCAGCTGTGAGGCTGAGATCTACGCGGGGGCCATGGCTGCACAGGAGCTACGCTGGCTCACCTACCTGCTGACTGACCTAGGAGAGCCGCCTCGTTCTCCTCCAGTTCTGTACGTAGACAACAAGGCCATGCTGGCCTTGTGTCGGGAGCACAGACTGGAGCACAGAACGAAGCACATTGCTCTTCGCTACTTCCTTGCTCGTGAGCTGCAGCAGCGTGGTCAGCTGCGCCTTGCTTACGTGGCCTCTGAGGCCAACACTGCTGATATCTTTACCAAGGCACTTCCGCCTTGTGATCATCAGCGCTTCTGTACGATGCTAGGTCTTGTGCCTACTTGGCCTCACTTGCTCACTTCTTGACCTTGCTTGTACTGTGATCTTTCTATACCTGCACTTGCTTGTTTACCTTTATATATGATCTTGCATGTGAACTGACCTTGTGGCCTTGCTCTTGTGCTCGGACTGTGTGGTGACGTTGTGATCCATCCTGAGCTTGCTTTGCTTTGCTTGACTGGTCTTGTGACCTCTTGTTCTCCCCCACTTTGCCTATGGGGGTGTGTCAAACTCATATGCTATAGTCTCTGTAGGCTGTAGTGGGGTAGACAATATGGGGTACAACATTTCTAGGTTTTCCTACTTGTACCCACCTCTTTGCTAGTTCACTCATTCCTCATTCTTCACATCGGTTTTGCAGCATTGATCAACAATCTTGAAGTGAAGTCAGACCCCTGATTTTGTTTCACATCTTTTCTGTTTTATAAAAAATATACCATATCATAAGACCCGGGTATTATATAGGATTTTCCTTTGAGGAGACCCCCCCCATTTTTTTCCAGTGGTTTTCATAATACCCTAGGGTGTTTTATCCGGTAGAATACGGTAATTTATACATGATTATGTTATACATATAATATGTATCTGTAGCACATACTCCTGCTATCCTCATGCATAATGGGACATTATACAGTTACATGTTTTCAACACTAGTGACATAAATAATTTCATTGCATAACCTAAACATTTGATAATCTTATACCATGAATGTTGATAGTTTTCAATATACGTTGTTTCATATTTGACAGTATGAATACATTACTCAAACTACAAATCATGTATTGGAACTATGAAGAAACTTGCTTTTGACAGATACTTCAACTGTTTATGCAAGGCCAATTATATTAACGGTTCTATGTGTATTATTCATTAATATTTTCTGGTATTATGCTCAGCGTATATCGAAACTCCTTGCTTTTTAACATCGAGTTGTTCGATTGGCAGTGTCTGAAGTGGCTTGGATGGTGCTCAGTCTGACGTGTATAGTGTTTCGAACGGTTTTTTATCAATCCGCGTCAGCGATTCATGGGGCATCCAGGATGAACCAGCTGGCGAACACATGTCAAAACGAACACATGCTCATGGCTGGGAAGTTGGGGGGATCGAGCCAAACCTATCCACGTAGGTTTGGACTCCCTCGAAATTTGTGGTCTGGTTCCAACAATATCGGAGGCGACCATGTGTAATCCTGGCAAACATTTTCGAAGTGACCGTACACTGATAGCTACACTTCGTTTTTCAATACGAAATGACGGCACGCGGGAAGCGCGGGACAAAAGGTGGATTCACGTCGCAATGGGGTATAACAAAATTGGCACGCTATAAGAAAAATTCCAGATGCCCAACCCCGTGCCGCGGTAATTCTCTCCACATTTACAGTTTGTTGTCGTCGAATGCTGGCGCCCCGACAACCACTGCGCGGCTCGTTAGCATTTTGGAAAAAATCCTGAAACAAAATCCCTGCACAAGAACATGGCTGAAGCATGACAGTTCAGGAGCGAGAAACTGTACCCACGTTTCACTCTCATTCCTGCCCTCCATCTCTCATTCTGCGTGCCAGCACGGATCACGGAAATGCTCGATTGCCAACGCTGACATTGTACTGCAGGGGTTGGTGGTTGTGGTTCGTTGGAAGGTAAGGGAATTATGCGCCAGCACCCGTCTGGCAATTGTAGTCGAATTGTGCAGCGAAGTATCCTCCTAGCTTTTGTTCATAACATCGATCCGTACCGTATGTCAGAAACACGAGCATCACACAGTAAAACGTACGGTCGGAACCGTGCCGTCGCTATCAGGTGCAGCTTGTACAGCCATGGCTGGCAGCAGGCAGCAGCCATGGAGCACCCGTCACTTGCGCCATGGATATTGCAGTATTCCAGGCACACGTCAGCGAGTCCATTGCGTGTGCTTAGCACAACTCAGCATAGACCGAGCCAGCTCATCACAGCCATATTTGACGTTAACTCCAAACTTCACGTGACAATCTAGCGATTCTCCCGTTGGAGATCCATCGATCTCAATGGCACAGCCAGCCAGCGTGACAGCGTCGGGCCGTTGGACGGGTCACGGGTGCCACACCATCAACTTGAACGTGCTGCTCCAACGCTACGCTGGATCGAATATCACATGGGAGCACCATCGATGCACGCCACCCGTAATTGTACTAGCTGCGCTCACATCAGCGCGTTTCACGCTCGATCGCTGTACGGGAAGAAGGCGTCTCGCCGCCTCCCCCGCCTCCTTCACTCATCCTTTCTCGTTCTTTGAATCGAGTCGCCTCGCCTCGCTTCGTCCGGCCTTGGGGATTCCTCCTCGCGCTTCCCATCTAGAGAGTCTCGTGCTCCTTTGTAAAAAACCACGGAGCTTTTCAATAGTAGACTATTGGAGCAGTAGTACATCGCGTTCGTATTAAAGAGCTCCAGACACACACTCACAGCCACCGCATGAGTCTTGTTCTGCCTTATTTTCTCCTAGCATCAGCGCCTGCGATAGCACTGCGTTGCGACGATAGCGCTGCGTTGCGACTATAGCACTCCATTTGCGTTTGAATAGACTCAAAAGCGCACGAGTCTTGTTCTGCCTTCTTTGCTCTCGTCTAGCATCAACGTCTATTCTGCCGAGATAGCTCTGCTCTGCGATGACCACCACTGCTCTGCGACATTAGCACTGCCATCGCGAAAAAGGGAAGTTCGAAAAGCCACTCAGAATACACTCAGCCGCAACTTCCTCGATAATTTTTGCCCGGCACATTCAAGTCAAGGTTTTAGAACTGCATAGCGTCAGTAACTGACAAACCAACTACCCAGTCACTATTCCGCTGCATTCTGTACACATGCGTGTATCAAATCAGATACTACACCTGCTACGTTGTCGTTGCAAAACCGTTACGGTCTGCACCACATGAAAGTTTACCAAACCTAACCTATCCAATCGACTAGAAAGTTGCAACTACGCAACCCCAACTGCCATCCGTACGCGACAACACACGTGGCATCCAGTATCAACCCGATGGTCCACGTAAGCGTTCACCCATCAAAACGTACCCGCACCCCATCCGTTAGATATACCGTTTGTTCACGCAATCTAGACGGTTCACGTGTCGCCCTGTCAGCTACTCGCACATCATGTTACTCCTTTGCGAGCACCACCTCGCGACTACTCGCTGACACATCGCACTCGCATCTTCTCCGTCCATCTCCTCACCACTCAGCCCGTAAATACGTGACACTTGGAAGCAGCCCACCGGTGCGCACGTCGCAACTCCCGTGTACGAGACCCACTAGCATTTTGCCACTTGGCATCCATCGGAGGGCGCATCATGCCTATCCACCCTATCCAACATTGCACCCTCGCCGTACAAATGTCGCACCGCCAGATTCTCGTTTACTTCGCCATATTTCTCGCCACCCATTCGTTTTGCTCACGCTACAAGGTTGCGACTCCATCCGCACCGTCCATCTGCACACATAGTCTCCAACTCCCAGCTGCCACGTTGCGCTCACAGCCGCGATCTACCCCGTACACTTGCCTTCGGATCGTCCACTCGCACATCTAGTAACCATCCATCCATCTCCTCGCCATAAGCATTCGCTCAATGTGCGCGAAACAATCTTGACCGTACACCTGTCGCGCCCTCGTCGAATATCAACTCGAGCTCCCAACCAGTACGCCATCACTCCTACACGTAAATTCGATTGTTCTAACGTACAGTAGAGTGACACGCGTAGTTTTGTTCGTGCGTGTCAAATTGGGCATAGGTTCCAGTTCAATGCTTATCCATGATGATATCCAATCGGAACGCCTCACGCCCGCAATGTTGTGACGGGCACGTCCAACCCAGTCGCGACATATGGAACCCTCCGCGACACGCGCCGCCAAGTGCGGCGCACCATTAGTCCGCCCGCGCACCTGGTTCACACCTGCATGTCGCATTGTACATCATCCTCTACTTGCCTGTGTTATCTCGAACAACAATACCCCAAACGAGTTCTCCCATTCATAACAAGGTCGCACAAAATGAGTACCACAACTCCTAACTACACCCGTCCTCTTCAACTCTCAATCACACACATGCGACCCCCTTACCCCACATATCCAAACTTCCAACACCGCACACATAGCCGTACAAGATTCCATCAACGCAGCTCTCCAGCTGTCCCTTCAACCGTCCACCACCCACATCCTCTATTGACGGTCTACTCAGCACCAAGTGACGCCGAAAGGTCGTCATCCCCTACGATGCCTTCGGACTGGGCGGCGGCCGCGGGCTTCATGTGCTCCAGGCCGCACGCAGAGATGCGCAGGCCATGGCGCCCCCAAATCCACGCCTCGCGCTCCGCATCATACTCGGGGTTGCGGATACGGATCGCCCTCTCCACGGACTCCTTGACCAGGACCTTGAGCCCATCCACAACGTGGGCGTTCCCGCCCGCCGAGTTGGAGAGCCGGCCTTTCCGCGCCTCCCAGTAGAGGACGCAGTCGGAGACCTGCGGCCAACACAAAAAGCGCCAGTCCATGCATTTCCAGTAGGATGCACACCATTGCACACATCGCGCGCACACACTCACCACATGCTCCAACCAGGCTAGGTGGTACACCTTAAGGGTCATCACCAGCCCTGCCTTCTTCGGCTTGAAGGCAGCCTTCGCACATGTCGCGAACGCCCGGGAGGCAAACGGCATGCCATCCCTGTCGTGCGCCCAGCTCGTCAGCACTAGAGTTTCTGCACACCACATCCGAAGCGTGGGTATCAATGTCCACAATTCTCGCATTGGTGCATGACTAGAAACGGTCGACGACTCCAACGCGCGTCTCATGCACTCACCAGGGGGGTCAGCGCCAAGCCCAATGCGCTCCCTTATCTTCTCGATACTACGCTCCTTTTCAGGTGCCCACGGGCTGGATGCGTCCCTGTCGTCCCGGAACAGGCCGAGCTTGGGAAGTGCAATGTCTCGCACGCGAGCGGCAGCCCTTGTCTTCCACTCCGACAGCGTCTTGTTGAGATCCGCCCGTCGCGACTTGTCAGCCGCCAACGCCAAACAGGCGAAGCTGTGAGGCAGGCGGTCCAGCACCGCGCACACTCCGTGAGTCTTATCGTCGCTGCTCGGGTAGAAGGTCATCGACGACGTGGGCCTGTTGAGAAACATGTGAACTCTGGCCAGCTCGCAAACCCGCTGCGCACCCATAGTATACACCATCACCAACATCAGCATTCACCGTGGACCATCAACGGGTACAGAGTGCAACCCAATCCGGACGGGAAGTTACTGAACCGAGATGGAAACAGGCCCGCTCACCTTCCACGCCTTGTCTGTCGGCAGATGCGCCAACGCGCGTTGCAGAATAGGAGACTTTGCAGTACGCATATGACGACCACCAGAACCATGCGTATCTTCCTCGTCGTCCTCTCCGTCATCGTCCGACCCGCCGCTCCATGTCTCGCCACGCTTACGCTTCGGGTTCATGCACCTCTGCTCCGGGTCTCTCTGCTTCCGAGCCTTACGCTTACGAGATCCACCAGAAGGCTGCGCCATTGCATTCAAGAACAGCGCCTCCAACCGCGCGTTCTCCTTGGCGCTCCTGTCCTGAGCCCGGATGAGTTGCTCGAGAACCCTGCTCGAGATGCGCACGTCATCGCGGTCGGTGTCCACTGGGGTCCCGCATGCGCGGTCCACATGCCCGTCCACATGTCCTCGGCCTTCGCCCCGAAACACATCCGTCTCCCCCGCGCCCCGACTTTCGCGCCCGTCTGCTTTGGGTGAAGCGGTTCCCGCACACCCATCGTCGGCCGTCTTCCCTCCAGTGGCAGGTTCGCCGGATTCTTCGGGTGAGGCTGAGGCCGATGTGTCTGAGTCTGCCTCGCCATCCTCTTCATTGCGCTCGGACGATGAAGCACTCTCTGCACCAGTGCCGTCATCTGCGATGATACAAAGGCTCCAGACAAGCACGGTAGCACATGTCAGCTATACTTTGTTGTACACGGGGGTTCATACGTATAGACAATGTGAACACTCGCATTGATAGAACGAGTCACCCATCCACGCTCTTTCTGCATACCTTGCTCATGCTGTACCACCTCGTTTCCCTTCTTGGCCACGCTCAGACGCTTAGGCAGTGTCGGCCCGCGTTTCCCGTTCGACAGCCGACCGCGCGGCATTGTCAGCTGATACGACGCTCGTAGGTATGCCGGCGGGTTAGATACACGACGGGCGCGCCCTCCCGTCCGAGTATCCTCTGAAGCAAGCGAAGTATCCATTGTAGCAACAATAGTATCCAGTGAGATGCTCACAGAATGACGCGCGGTTCTATACTTCTACGTATAGCTTCCGCTCAACTTCTTACCACACCGGAGCCCATCATGGGCAGTGAGTTTGGTAGGCAATACGACTTCGTGGCCATTTGGATGACCGCAATCCGAAACGGCTAATACATGCACACCACGTCATCCGCCGCCATGTACATGTGTGCACACATGAACCACACACCGCGCACATCCTGGCGACACAACCGTATCGTTGGAACTCGTTTGTGAGTACATCCTGTCTCACGGAAGTATTCACTTTGCACGTTGTTGACGTACATCCTTTCATTATACATCTCACCAATTGCACGTTACACTAGCACACAATGTACCGACCAATTGAGCTCCATTGTGTAAGCAAGAGCCTTCGCACCCATCAATCGCGAATACAAGCAGAAAATCTGACGCCCTGCACATCTCTAACTGCATTTCTCGCAAAACATACCGTACAATTGCAATCATGTGTACGTCTATGCATCTACATCAACTATGCAGGATGGTCTGCCAACTTCTCATGTGCAACAGAGTCTTCCACACCCTCCTCGGCTTCGTTGTGCCGAGCACACCCGCCGCTGCCGTTGTGCACAGGGGCCGTTCCCCCACTCTCAGCATTGTCAGGGTCGTCTGGTTCGTTGGCCGCCTTGTTGTTGCTATCCACCACCCTCTGCCTCTTTGACGTGCGCGTGGCAACCACTCGCTTCCTCCCTCGTTTCAGCTTCCAGTTCACGCCCTCCCGCGCCTCCCTCCAGCTCCGCCACCTCCACCACCTCCGCGCTTCCACCAGGAGCTGCAGATCTTCCTTGGTGCATCCACGCAGCATCGCCTTCTCTGCGGCTGACAGACTAACCGTGTTGGGTATCTTGTCTCATGGCCTTAGGACGAACGCACCTGCGGCGTACGCAAACGCCGCCTCCTCCTCCGATGTGTATGCACCCAGCCGCTGTTGCTTACGCTTTCCTCCTTCCTTGATCAGGATCTTCACGCCGAACTTGCCTGATGCTTTCTCCAACTTGACTCCTGTGTACTTCGTTGCACACGTGTCGTCACCATCCTCTTCGTCCTCCGTGTCTGACACGAGATCCTCTTCTTCTTCTGCCTTCACCGTCTCGTGGCCGCTCGTATCTCCCCACGCATCAGCTCCAGCCGGCACCGTCACCCCGAGCAGCGATTCCCGCGGGTGAACATCCAGTGAGGTATGGTCCCTCCCGACAGCAGCGGGTTTTGCAGCAAGCGCGCTGTCGGATCACATGCAGCGAACGAGGAGGCCAGCGCAACACGGGTGGCATTGCGTACGACATCCTCCTCTGGACTGCTGTCATCACGCCTCTTGCGACCGGATGGACGCTGTGGAGTGTGTGGGGCATTCTTGGTGCCACCTGCCTCTGCTTTCGCGCCGGATCTCATGGGGTTGCCTTGCATCAGTAGTTGGGTTGCAGCGGACACCACCTCGTCGCGCCTCAATCCCACAAAACTGGCTATGACGGTGAAGCTCGCGTCCAGGTACATCACATCGTTCTTCATAGTCGCCATTTCCCTCATCATCGCCGTTACCCGTGCGTCATCCCCGGCTTGAGTGACCGGTGCTTGCCTCACATCTTCCATACCAGCGTTCCTCTCCCGCACCACTGCCCCCCCCTCTGTTACCCGGCCTGCGTCCTGCGGGGGAATTTCGATCCCCAGCGCTTCCAATTGCTTAATGAGATCTCCGGTCGCGTGTGCGCACAAGTTGCGCCGCATCTCCCGCCGGTATTGGTGCGGCGTCACACCCTGAAACCAGAGCCCGCTCAATAACGTGGTGAAGTCGGACATCACCAGGGTCTTCAGGTACTGGGAAACAAAAATTCCACAGTCCTGCTTGTTCGGCTGCTGTGGCAGCTTATCCTCCTGCACTTCGACAAACGCACACTACAGTTAGCAATCCGTCTACCCTCGTAAACATTGTGCACACAGGTACGCGCATTCACTGGTACCCTCACCCGTAATATTATGCACTCCGCCTCCAACAGCTGCTTGTCCACAAACTCCATGTTCGCGTCAGGGTTACTCGCCTTGGCGAGTTCGGACAGCACTCTGCACGTTACAGGCCGAAATCGTTAAAACAAGTTCTGGGTTGCTGCCAGCGACATGCAACGTCGACAGTGAACCCCGTACTCACAGCTTGGTGCCTGCAAAAATCATGCGGGTGTTCCTTGTCTTTATGCTACTGTCCAGCAAGACCAACTTCATTCGCTCTTTGCCTTCGGATTTCGCGGACTTGGTAAGCACCGATGGAGATACAGCGATGACGAGCGAGTAGTGCTCCCTACGCTCAACATGAGAGGGTATGTTGGGATTAGGGTTAGACAACCATCGGTGTCATGCTAAAGAATCCTCTCACGAACCGGATATTTGTGATACGTACCCCTCTAGCACAGGGATCGCGAGATAGTCGTGCTGCAGTAGCAGAAGCCCGTTCCCCAGCGTCAAAGGCGCACCACACGAGTTCGTCTGGAAGTACGCCTTGCAGTCCAAGGCAGCCCATGTTTTCCCGTCACGGAGAGTCGGCTTCCGGATGCTAAGCAGCCTGCACAGTTAATGAACAAGAAATAACAAAGCGTATAAGATGTTGCCCATACATCAGATACTACGCAACAAAGCGTCAACCAGGTGACCGCCGTGACGATACTTACACGTTGTGAAAGTCTAGCACGCCATCAGTAATCCACTGATCATCCTCGATCGACATGAGGTCGTCCTTATCCACCTCACACCCGACGCCGCGGTGATTTATAAGCGTCATGTTTCTGTACGAAGACTTCATGTAATTCCGTGCGACGAGGGCCACCAAATCTTCCGGCACCTGCTCCCGCGCCGTATCCTCCTTATGAGTAGCAAAATTCGTGGCCCTTCCGGAGTCCTTAGTCGGCGGGATCGGCCCTGGATTCTTCATGTTAGACTCGGCCTTTTTCGACGACCTGGTTCTGCACGTCGGCGGGGCAGGATCTTGGTCGTCGGAGCTGCTGCTAGTTTCGGGTTGATAGAACCTGTTGCGCTTAGATGTCAACTGCTTAGGATTCGCCATCATGATATAACAACGACTAGAATACAAACTACACCGGCTGATTAAGACGAGAGCAGGTGGGGTTGGCAGGAGGAACACATTTACGGGGAGCGCAAGCGATGAGGATACTATGGAAAATGAAGGAGATAGAAAGGCGTAACCCTCTTGGATCATGCACATCTGGTGTGACCATCATGTAGAGCTCCATTGATCTACACCGTTGGCGCAAGCGTGCATGCGATGGCTAGGTGTGATGCGACCACTCGAGAGGATGTGATGGTTCAGCGCCATGCAGATCCACGTGTGCTAATCCTAGGGTTTCGGATGATGTGGTCGGAGGTTGAAGCCGGGTTACCAAGCCGATGCATGCAAGCGAATGTGCGGTTGTGTACCTGTAGTTCGATTTTTTTGATATGGAGGCCGAATGACGCGAATTACGGTAACGATGTACGCCGTATGGTGAACATACGTGTATGTGTCTCTTCGCGCGCCGAGTCCCGGTTATTGCAATCGTGGCGTACATGGTTATTAAACTTGTACAACAAGTACACGCGATTGCAATGTGTTATGTTACGTCAGTTCAAAACATTCTATTCTATTTTGTATGTCTGTAAGGAATTTTCTCGGCATTCCTTACGGAGCCCGACTACATCGCGTACAGCAACAGCCGTTGTTCGCCCGTTACTGCTAACGGGGCTTCGCCGACTTCGCGCGCACTGTTTCACCAAACCTCGCACTGCTGGCCTGGCCGTGTCGGCCTACGCTTCGGGACTAGCCCGAGCCTCGCTCCAGCGTAGCACTAGCTAGCTCGCACGCACCGCGTTACCGTTTGCATGTTTCGCATATAAATGTTCGCTCATGCCTTCGCTCACATTTTGTACTCGTTTGACACCTTAGTGCAATTCTCGCTACTTTGATTCATTGCACCCGTAACACTTGGTATTCAGAGCCCCTTTCTTTCGGACCGCGCATCTCCGCACCCAAGGAAATCAACTTTTGATTTTTCACTCGAAGGGACTCACGTACCTTAGCACCTAGGAGCCGCTGTCCTCGCGTTCTCTCGTAAACGCGTGCAGCCACGACTGCGCCTAGACTAAGACGAGCCGACGCCCTTCGAAATGGCTGAACATATCGACGTCACGACTCTCACGCAGGAGCACTTGAACGATCTACTGCGACAAATCCGCGAGAGCGCCGAGGAAATCGCGACGCTGACGGCAGAACGCTCGTCCCTGCAAAACGACCTCACACGGGCACAATCCCAAGCACCTGGCACTCCGATTCAGCCCGCACCACAGACATCACAGCACGGAAGTGTGGGGCAACCCGCGAGCGCCGCAAGTGATGGCATCGTCCGCCATGACGGAGACGACGACCACGGCACGACACACCCCGACGCGACGAATGCGGCCAGGACTCAACCTCGAGTCACGATTTCAATGCCGGCCGGCGAATCAACTCTTCCGTCGCCGATGCCGCTAAAGCCGCAGCGTCCGCCATGCTTTGACCCAAGTCAGCGGGGTGGTCCTACCATTCAGGCGTGGCTCTTCACGTTGAACGTCTTCTTCGACGCGAACTACGTCTCGGAGGATACGGCGAAGATTCGCTACGCCGTGTCGTTGCTGCGAGGACCCGCCATGGACTGGTGGCGCGTCATCGTCACGAAGCCGGTGGACTACGCGACTCTACCGACACGGGAAGGACAAACCGGACCCTGGGCGCCGTCGTACTTTGTGGAGGTGCCCCTGTATCGCACGTGGGACGCGTGGTGCGCAGGTCTACGCGCTCGTTTCGAGCCAATCGCGGCTTCGATCGCGGCGCGACAGAAGCTCCGCACTTGGCGCCAACTCGGTTCCGTCCAAGATTACACGAGCGGATTTCTGGCGCTATGCGAGCAGGTGGGATATATGCACGAGAGCGAGCGCATCGACCGCTACATCGGCGGCCTGAAGCAGGACATCGCTCAGGAAATCCAGCTCCGCGGCGTCACCGACTTTCAAGAAATTCTCGCCATGGCGGAGAAACTTGATTTCTTCTGCCGACCAAGACCGGGGTCCTACGGAAGCAGCCATTGGGGACATCAGCCTCGTGGGACGAACGAGGGCGCCACGATACGTGCCGTCGCCGCAAATGCCGCTGCCACACCGTTCAAAGGGCGCTGCTTTGCGTGCAATCGGCCGGGACATCGCAAGAGCGAATGCCCAGAAAACGCTAAGGGAAAGGGGGAAGCTGAGCAGCAGAAACAGACCAAGCAGCAGGGAAACGCTGGGAGTCAGTAGCAGACGGGCCCTCTACTGACAGGTCACGCCGCTCGCCCGACCCAACCGACCCTCACCGAGTGATTGTGCCGGTTCACGCAATCGACCACACTCGGCCGAATAAGGAGGGGACTACGGTAGACAGCCTCATACTGCTTAGTGGGAAAATCGGGACGGACTTAGTTAAAATCTTCGTAGATGGGGGAGCCAGCCACAGCCTCATCAACACCGCTACAGCACGAAAACTGCGACTGCCACTGTACATATGTTTACCTGAGATCGACGCACGACTGGTAGACGGCACGCCGCTGGCGATACGGGAACGCGTAGACCGGGTTCGGATTCGATGTGGGGGTAACTTCACGTTTAGCCAGGAAATGAACGCAACGACCCTCGACGGAACCGATGTTTTACTCGGGCGTGATTGGTTGCGACGACACAACCCGCGAATCGACTGGACGACGGGTGACTTCACCGTGCGAGTGAACGGTAACAACATCGCCTTACCTCGCTGGGGCTCACCTGAGTCTTCATCGGTACGTGTCAACGCGATCACGATGAAACGCGCCGTAGCGGCAGGAGCTGACGTGTACGCGGTCGACATTCGGGAAGCCGAGGCAGCAGACAAAGGAGGGGATTTACAGAAACTGCTGGCCGACGTACCGAGTGACCTGGCAGCACTGTTGAAGCAGTACAGCGACATTTTCCCGGACGATTTACCGACGGGACTGCCACCTCAGCGACCGCACGACCACAGGATAGAGTTAGAACCGGGGGCACAGCCAACAGTACAGCGACAGTTCCGACTGACCCAGCCTGAACTGGACGAACTGAGGAAGCAGCTCGATTACCTGCTCGAGAAGGAATTCATTCGCCCTAGTTCGTCGCCCTTCGCAGCACCGATACTGTTCACACCGAAAAAAGACGGGGGATTTCGCATGTGCATAGATTACAGAGCACTGAACAGGGTTACCATCAAATCCCGTTACCCCATCCCGCGAGCCGATGAACTGATCGACCAACTGCGCACAGCCCGGGTTTTCTCGAAAATCGACCTCCGAGGGGGTTACCACCAGATTCGCGTCAACCCGCCCGACTGCCCTAATACCGCATTCCGCACACGCTACGGATCCTTCGAATACACCGTCATGCCTTTTGGACTGACCAACGCCCCCGCCACCTTTCAAATTACCATGAACGAAGCTTTCCGCCCGCTCTTAGATAAGTGCGTCATAGTATACCTGGACGACATACTTATTTACAGCCCTGACAGAGCACAGCACTTACAGGACATCGAAGCAGTTTTTAAAATCCTGAGTGAGAACCGCCTACTGACAAAAGCGTCTAAGTGTGAGTTTTTACAGGACCGCCTGGAGTTTTTGGGACACGTTATTTCAGATGCAGGAGTGGAAATAGACCCGAAGAAAATTGCGACGATTCAAGCATGGCACGCGCCGACCAACTTGACCGAGTTGCAGAGTTTTTTGGGGTTCGTCAACTACGTGCGCCGG